GCATATATTGATGTTTGCGTTAGTACGATGAATGACAAAACGACGAAATTTCCCCCACCACTTCCACAATAACACCAATACACGCAATCTACATAAACCCAAATTTTTTAAAACATTAATCAGTTTGTCTGACGATCGCTAAAGCGTGAAACCCAGGGTCACAAACTCACATCTATCCAACCAAATATGTTAGCTCTATCTCTGATATTGAGCGCTTTCTAATAAGTACCGCGCATATAATATATAAATAATTATACATACTTATATTTATTTATATTTATATACACTTTTCACATATATATATATATATATATATATATTTGAGGGGAAAGAAGTTTGACAAAATGGAAAAGTTTTTATGTGACACATTTCGTCCTTTAGTACTTCATCAAACTAAATTTGTATTTACATTGAAGTGACTACACATGCACATGAAGGAAACGGGGATGCTGAGAATTTCATTTTTTTTAATATATATGTATTTGGGAATATAATCGAACTGATTTCATTCAGATTCTTTTATGTTTCCATCACTTTTGTTATTAAGTAATATTAATTAATATATTGTGATAATAGAAGATCTCCTAAAAATGGTGAAACATAAAAATCTAGACACAAATTTACTGTGGATGATCTAGCAATTAAAGCACTTTCTAAACATTTTCTTTTTTAATTAGAGTAGCATTTTTAAATCGAAATTGTAGTTAGTCTTGTTACAGTGAGCAACTAATGCATTTAATGTGTTGTTTTGTAAACGATCCCTTTTGTGTTCATATAATTGTTTATTTAAATTCCTTAAGGTTTTTCCTATGTATTCCTTTTGGCAATTATTACAGGTAATAGAATAAATTCCTCCTTCAAGTTTTAGCTCATTATTTTGTTTTGTATTAATTAAGTCTTTTATTGTTTTAGACGTAGTTGTGACAAATTTTATGTTGAGTTTAGATAATTTTTTTTCAATTGTAGTTATGATGAAGTTGGTGGGTAGAACAATATATTTTCATTATTGGGTTTGTCAGGGTGGGCCACCTTTCTATTTTGAAATATTTTATGAATGTTTTGTTTCACATGGAATATGAAATAATTAGGTTATTGGAGTAGCTTAAAAGTATTTTCCATGTATTTTTTAAATACTGAGGACTGCAAATTCTGAGTGCTTATTCTGGATTTTAATTTGGTGATATGATGAGAATAGAAATTTATAAGTCATTTTTATTAGTTGATTTGTGATTGACACTTATTTTTAGGCTATTGTTATCAAGGTGTAGCATCCTGAACTTTACGCAACAGAAATATGGATATTGCAAGGAACAAATTATACACATTTTAGAACCAATTATGAAAAAATGTAGTCAAGAAATATAGAAATATTTAAACTTATAGAAAAATTCAGCATCCAGATTAGAGATAACAGTCTTGAATTTTCAGATGTATTTTATTGTTGAAAAACTGATTTGTAATTTTCCATCAATACAATATTTAATGACAGATAAGAACTTCCTCCCCCATTTACATTTAATGTAACAGTGTAATAAAGTCGGGCTATGTATAAGTAAGTACTGGTATCTGGGTAAATATTAATATGCCAGATATTTCAACTTTGTATATAAAACCCAGGAAATGTTTTTGAGACATTTTGTTACAAAAATGTCTTATATTCCATCAAATGTCAGTCAGTAAATTTTCTGACATTTTAAAGATAATTTCAGTTTCAATATATGATACATTCATTTCACAGCAGTCAAACAAAAATAATGTTTCACCTTGGGAACTCTCTTCTACCAGCATCATAGATGACTTAATTCCAATGAACAAAAACAGTATTGCTCCACTGGTAATTCATCATAGTCACAATTAATATAGCAAAAACTTCCAATAATTGTGGTAAAATTTAAAATGAAATTTATTTACACATTTACAAAAATTGTTGCATTTGTTGACTTTTTACATCTTTACAGGATAAACAGTCTTATCTGAAATGTTTGTACAAATGGACATTATCTGATAAAGAGAAAGTTCATAATTTTTAGTAAATATCACAGGTTACAAGAGAAAAAGAAGTATAAGTAGCTGGCATAGAGTTTCAACAGTGAATCTTTTGATCTATAGCCAGTTTGCTTCTCTCTTTGGGAAAAGGGAGCTACTTATTGTAGATTCATGTAGGTGAGCTAGTATTTTTGAGTAGATAGTCTACTATGCAAAGTTTTATGTTTATCTGCTTTTATTAAATACAAACTTGAAGATTTTAGAATTTACTCAAATAAATGGTGACTGCTTGAAAATGATCTTTCTATAACATATACTCTGTTTTCTACTATGTCTGTAAATTTAAAATGTTATTTTGGGCTTTTTCCTTGAATTTGCAATTTTGATATATATATATATATATATATATATATATATATATATATATATATATATATATATATATATGCATGTATACATGTACGTGCAGACACAGAGACAAAACACACATATTGCACCTGGTCAGTACCTAGATGAGTAACTGCTTAGGAATACCAGGTGCTGTAAGCGTGGATGTGTGGGTGGTGTGATGGATAACAGCTCAGAATTGTAAATCAGAGAGCTAAATTCTAGTTTCAGTCAGGTTCATCATATTCACTTAGATGCAAATACTCCTGGGAAAGGTATGAATCCACTTCTTTTCTCAGGTATGGGTTAATTAGTAAAACTTGTATCAGTAAATCATTATTATCTCTCCAAAATTCTTACAATCTAAAAATATTTTGTCGCTTTAAATAGGTTGATTAGCCATAAAACAAACAAATCAATGAGTCAATATATATATATATATATATATATATATATATATATGTATTGGGATCAAATATGATCATAATCTGACAGAAGGACAAGAACAAATAGGAAATGTTTATCCATTTAACATGTTTCACTTTTATTAATGCTTCATCAGACATATGGAGAAAAAGAATAAATACATTCTGGTATTTTTATTTTTGTGTTTGATCTGCATTGGTTAATCAGGTTTCACATGCATATGACTTGTGAAACAAACGTTAGTAAAATTTATTAGTTTGTCTGTGTGGGATTCAGATGATAATGTATATTCTTAAATGTGCGTATATGTCTAGTGCACATTATGCTTGGTGGTTTTTCGCATGTTGATTTTAAGTACACAGCATTGTTCTAGATACACAGACGTTTCTTTAAGAACGCATTCAGTAAAGGTTGGTGAGGTAATATAATGTCTTTGACATGTGTTTATAATATTTATTAGTAATCCCTCGAAGAACTTTTGATGTAAAGAATTATGTTATTTTTTAATTAGGGTGGCATTTTTAAAATCAAATTATGACCAGTTTTGTTCTTGTGCATTACAAACGAGTTTAAATGGTTGTCCAAGTGTAAACCCCTTTCATGTTCATAGATATGGACTTTTAGATTTTGAAATGTCTCAGCAATATTTTACATTATATTACATCAGCAACCTTTATTGAATCCATTCAGAAAGAATCTAATGTATGCTTATCGAAAACAAATGGTGTGTTCGTAAAAATGTTTCTAAAAATAACAAAAAAAAAACACCAAGACATAGGAGACATACACATACACTTATGAATATACATTATCATCTGAACCCCACATACACAAACTAGAATTATTATACACTTACATACGTAAAGTAATATTTATGGTTTTTCAGTTAGGCTTGGGATCTGTTAATTTCTTGGAACTTCGAAAGGGCATGCTGTCTTTCCTTGAAACGCCATAAATTATACTAACATTTGTTTAACAAATGAAACAACACGTCAATAAAAATATCAGAATTTCTTCATTCTTTTTCTCCATATCTTATTCTTTGATGAAGCTTTAATAAATGTGAAATGTTAGAGATTGATAAATGTTTCCTATATGTTCTTTATCTTATCTTATATAAATATATAGATCTACTCTAAATTAACTTTTGAGCTATCTTAGAATTTGTGAGCTTAAATGTGATGGTGAGTAAGCTTATAACAAACAAATTTCCTTGAGTAGTGAGTTTGATCTACATGAGATGCTTCACTTCTATGACTTTTTGTACTTGACTAAACTAATCTTAGTTAAAAACTCCTAGTTAACTGATTGACGCAAAAAATAGTTTTTTGATAGATTTTTTAAAATTCTTTTATTGTAACTGAATTAATGGGTAAATTTGCTTTTTAAGCCCCGTGCTAAATATCTATTAAAAATTTCCCAAATCATATTTCCGTATTAAGTGCGCAGTAATTTAGACGAGTAAGATCAGTTAAGAGCAGTAAAAAGGCTGTTAATTAGGCTTCCGCGCGCAAAATGTTCCGCAGTGAATGTATTTAAACAAGGCCAGTAATGGCCGACGGCTGAACGCATCTGAGTCCGAAATTTTATTGTCGATAACTCCAAAACAGTAGATTTTTTCAAAATTTAATTGTTATTTTCGAGTTCAGCATGTCAATTTACACGGAAATATAACGATTTGCAAAATTTTTAATAGATAGTTAGCACGGGGCTTAAAAAGCAAATTTACCCATTTTATTTTTAATTCAGTTAAAAAAATTTTCAAATTCACTTGTGGATTACTACAAAAATTATGATGACAGAATAATTTATTGTTTACCATTGTCAGAACGGACTAAGCTGTTTGAAACAGTTTTTAGATCCATTCCTAACTCACCAAATAGTTAAATCATTTACGTCTTCTCCCCCCTTCGCCTTGACGAAGAAAAGTTGCACTACAGTACAGTGTGTACTGTGTAGTGTACAGTACACTGTTACGGTGAATCATATTTAGAATTATTTTTCATATTTTAATAAAGTTTTCAAAATCTTAACTGTTTTTAGGCCAGTTACTTCTGATTATAAAAATTAATAACGCAGGTAAAAGTGATATTCCGATCAAATATAAAATAATTTTCCTTACGAAAATATCCGAATATTATATCGGAAAACAACGAGTGGGTGGAAATGAGGCGTCGTTGATGTGTGACGTCATAGTGAATATGGCGGCAGTTGTATTTACATGTGATCCTAGGATAGAAGCCTTAAAGTTTTGGAATTTGGGTATTTATTTGCCACTGACAGGTAACTATATAGGCTTCCTTTTTCTAATACAGAATTGTTATTCTGTAGTTAACCATTTATTTTACATAGCTAATCTTAATCATTTTACCTTGACGAGGATTGACGTATTCGAAGTGTAAAGTAAATCTCTTTCTGGTTTTGTACACACAAAATTCGTGATTGAATTTATTTCTAAACCAAGCTATGGGCCTTATTGTTTTACTTTATGTGGGACATCGACAAATTTCCTTTTGATTTGAGTCTTCAGTTTATTTTACTTCGAATCCAGTTCCTGATTTCCAAGAAATATTTTCTATCCGTTAATTTTTTTTTTTTTTTTTTTTTTTACTGTTTTTGATGCTTTTCTCCTAAACTCCTTTCTTTTGCCATGGAATTTCTTTTTAAACGTTTTTTTTTTGTTGTTGTTTAAATTCGGTCATTGTAATTTATTGAAGGGAATTTTTCATCTTTTAAAAATAACTTGTAACTAGTGTTTAAGTTGAAACACAAGCTGGATTAAAAGAATAATCCATATTGACCCATTTTTTCTTTTTTTATTAAAGTACGAAAGCTTTTGAGCAGAATAATGATATATGACTGAAAATTTTTTTAGTTATATAAAACTTGTTTCTGATTAGAACTAAAAATTGAATGGTTAACTTGGCTAAAGATTATTCGAATTTCCGATATTTCCAAAAGCTTACAATTTTTACCCATTTGAAACTTTTTGTGAAATTTTAGTGTTGTTGAGTCACTTATTTTTGCGTAACATGTGCTATAAAAATGTCATTTAGCAATGATGTTCAAAGTAATAATAGTTCACGGAAGAATGTTCATTATTTTCTGAATAGTGCTAGTGGATGGTATTTAATTTAAAAAAAAAATTAATATTTTTTTTAAATAAAAGTTCGAAAACGTTATTGACTACAATTTTTGTTACTTGTAAAATACAAGCAGCTAATCAAAATAAAAAATAATACTTTGCGGTTAAGTTAATCTATGTGTTTAAACCCCAAGTGGCCATTCTCCCAGCCAGTACCTTTAGGTGAAGTCTTTAAGGGTGTGAGCAATTTTTGTCTCTAATGCTAATCTCGTATATTCGTGTGTATCTTCGTGCCAAATTCCATAGAGGCCCAGTCTCAAAAAAAAAAAAAATCTAGCCAAAGAAAATAAAATTGAGATATATTCTTTTAAAAAAGTTTATTCCCTTATGCTCACGTTCCATGGTTCAATTTTTATTTAAAGACTTACGTAAAGATGAGACATTCTGTGTACAACTACTTGTCACAGTGTTTAGCGGAAAAAGCAGGCACGTGTCTTCGTATGCAAAAAATGACCGTTTATTTCGGAAAAATGATTTTTTTTTTTTCTTAATGAATCTGCATTAAAATTTCTTTTAAAATCATGCCTTGTTTTTTGTGTGGAAGTATAAAGAAAGACGTTTTAGTTAGGTACTTTTAGAATATTATGGTATGCGTAGTTTAAAAGTTTATTTTAAGCCTGTTATTGTTTGCGCCCATAAATTTGAAAATGAACGATTTCTTTAACTTGATAATCGGAATTGGGAAATGGTTTCTTTAACTGATGAATTTAATTTCTAATTTAAATTACCACCTGATTACCATGTGTAAGTAATAATTTAACGAGAAAATATACTTTTTGTAGACAACGAAATGAATTAAAAAATTTATTTATTTTTATTTTTTATTTTATTTTTTTGCATATATCTCAAACAAAAAGACCAATAGTCTCTCCCCTCATTTTCTTGTTTACGCTACACAAAGTTGCATGTCAGTTGTGCATGAATTTATTTTGACAACTTTGTTAAAAAAAAAAAATCCACCTTTTTCCATTAAGTTAACGCCGTAACGGACAACAAATCAAATAGGGTTCCTCATCGGTGGCTCTTTTTTTTTTTTTTTTAATAACCATTTGCATTGTTAAGAGAAATTTGCTGACGTCATTTAAAAAAACTGGAAGTTAAATGAAAAAGTTAGAAATAACTAAATGTGTAATAAAGTGAAAAATGTATGTAATTTAGTCAATTAAGGTGTATTCAGATTTGTTTTTATGCTTTCTTTTAGTTTGTTTTATTTTATTTTGTTAACATTAACTAACAGTAACACCTACCCCCCTTTTTTTTTTTTTTAAATAATTAAAAAATGCACTTAGCGTGCCACTAGTAAAAAAAAAAATTCTTATTGAATGTTAGATATAAAAAAATATTTTTAAAAGTTTTTCTTGTTAATTTTTTAAATTTCATCTGTTCATTCTTTCATTTAAAAAAAAAAAAATCCGCACTATTACCGCATGTTTAAATACCCTTTCTTAATTAGTGTTTTAAAATTAAAGTGGAATTTTTTTTTTTTTTTTTTTTTTTTCACGTATCCATTTTCTTTTGTGTTGATTACCGACCATTCACTCAATTATAATTAGGTCTGGAAGTATTATGCCCCCAGACTGAAATGTTTTTTTTTTTTTTTTTTTTTTTTTACTCAATAGTAAAAAAAAAATTTCGCTAAAAAAAAATAAAAACAATGAGAACTTTAAATAGACAAAAGTGAAAATAAAATTTCAACTTTTAATAAACCTCAACCTTTCTTTATAGAAAAATAAATTTGAATGAAAATGTTCTCATTGACAGTGTTACTGTTAAATTAAAAAAAAAAAAAATCTTTACCTGTAATTTTCTTTTATATGATGATACTTAAAAAAATTGCGATCAGGTTATTGAATTTATTTATTGGTTAATTTCGATACTTCTTAAAATAAAGAGAAACAACGCAGAACTAGATAAAAATTGTAAAAAATCCTGTTGGCCTTCGCCGAATTCGAGATCGGTAAACATTTCTTTATTTGGTTTTCGGCTAAAAGAAAACGAAAAAAAAAATAAAACGGTTATTTCAAAACAGTGATTTTGAGTTGTGTCCCTTACATTTGGTGACTCAAGGCATGATTATCGGTTTTTAAAAATTTATTTTTAGAGGCATTGAAATCACTTCAGTTTAGAATACGAATAATATAAAATTTAAGTACCAAGGACATTTTATTATTGCAGAAAGACTTTTATTTTGAATAAAATAAAAAATTTGATTTAAATTTCAGGAAAGTTTTGTTTTTGAAAACATTTTAAAAAGTGTATTTACAAAAAAACAAGAGAGCAAAAATTAATTCAATGTTTACATCTTTTAATGTAGGTACCTCCATGAGATGGCTAAAAAAAAACAAAACACTATGACGGAAAAGACGCCAATCTTGACGAAAGCAAAACTTTAGCGTCTAAATGTTAGTTATTAAGAGGAAAGATCAAAGTATTTTTTTTAATCGTTCTTAGCACGTCTAAAATTTTCGTTAAAATTTTTTTTTTTTTTTTGTTAGCAAAATTGACATAATTAAACATCTCAACCATTTTTTTCCATTTTATTAAAAAAAAAAAAATGAAAATCTCAGTTTGAAATTCTTTTAAAAATAAATTTATAATTTTTTCAAAACTTATTTTAAGAAAATCAGAAATTATGTTTATTTAAAATATTTTGAAACAAGCATTAGTTTAAGCGCTGAAAAGATGTAGTTTGAAAATAAAACAAAGCATTTTGTGTCACTTGACAGGTGATGAATAACAATTTAATGGCATTGACAGCTTACGTGAGAATAATTCATTCTATGGAAGGAGAGAAGTGAAATTATTTAGACTTAAGTGAACAAATTATTTACCTCGTTATTTTTAAGGAAAACTTTCAGTGTTTTTTTTTTTTTTTTTTGTACTTAGCTTTCACCTTTACATTTATTATGCTTTATGGAAAATATATTATAAAGAAATTAAAATAAGTATGATTAAATCTCATTAGAAAGGTATCTAATTAATTTATAGGTACCTTTCTTAAGAAATTTTGTCAGAAGTATACATAAAATACTATAATTTTATGTACATTTATTACATTTTACTGTGTTATTTGTATTTCCATTCATTTTATTCATTTTTGATATTTAGGAAAAAATGTTATAACTGAGATTAATATAAAAATAAGATCATATAAATTTCATATGATACTGATACTTGTAGGTACCCTTCTCAGTTGAAATTGAAAAATCAAATTAACTTCTCCACATGTGTTTTCATAAAAATAAAGGCAATGCTTAACGCAACTTAATTTTATTCTTGCTGGTTCTGTACTTTATAATTACAGCTGTATTATAAACACAAAATTACATTTCTTAATTACTGCGGATTTTCTGATTGGTCAAAACGATACAATTTACAATGCACTAAAAAAAAATCTATCATTTACGAAACTGAACATGGCTTTAACTAATTTTATAATATTTTAACAACTTAAATGTAAAAATCTATTATAATTAAAGAAATAACAAATAATTGTATTAAAAATTCATTTTTAATCAAAAAAATTTTTGGCTTTCAGAAAATATTGTCTATATTCATAAAAACAACTAAAAGCAAATAAAAGCATTTGAAATTAAATAATATCTTTGTTTTATTGAGTTTTGTATGTTATAATTCAGAGATGATTTTCAGGTGGAAGGAGGTCCAATTAAAAAAAAAAAAAAAAAATGATTTGCTTTCCTCAAAGCCTTATACTTTTAACTAATATAATCACTAAACTGAACAGGATTGAATTTATAGAGTTTTCATAAAATTAGTTATGGGGGAGGGGGTAATAAATATAAAAAAAAATTTTTTTTTCCATGAGTTTAAAAAAGAAAACATATTTATAATTTCCATCATTTGTGAATAGTTTCTGAAAGTTTCATTAACATCCAACAATTATTTTTATTTTTGCAAGATTTTCCAAATGTCTGTCATTCAAAAAAAAAAAAACCTGCTAAAAATTTGTTATTTTACTAGTTCCAGTGATGCAGAGGAACAAGAATTTTAGAATCTTCTAAACAGAAGGTAAAATTTTTAAAAAATAATTAAAAAATACTTTGGTCTTCCCTCTTAATAATAACATAAACATTTAGATGATAAAACTTTGTTTTTGTCAAGTTTGGCGTCTTTTTCA